ATCTTTCCATGAAATGTTCCCTTGGTATCTCTAATTTTCTTGAAGAGATCTCCAGTCTTTCCCATTCTGTTGTTTTTCTCTATTTCTTTGCATTGATCACTGAGGAAGGCTTTCTTTTCTCTTCTTGATACTCTTTGGAACTCTGCATTCAAATGGGAATATCTTGCCTTTTCTCCTTTGCTTTTTGCTTCTCTTCCTTTCACAGCTACTTTTAAGGCCTCCTCAGACAACCATCTTGCCTTTTTGCATTTCTTTTCCATGGGGATGGTCTTGATCCCTGTCTCCTGTACAATGTCACGAACCTCCGTCCATAGTTCATCAGGCTCTCTGTCTATCAGATCTAGTCCCTTAAATCTATTTCTCACTTCCACTGTATAGTCGTAAGGGATTTGATTTAGGTCATACCTGAATGGTCTAGTGGTTTTCCCTACTTTCTTCAGTTTAAGTCTGAATTTGGCAATAAGGAGTTCATGATCTGAGCCACAGTCAGATCCCGGTCTTGTTTTTGCCGACTGTATAGAGCATCTCCATCTTTGGCTGCAAAGAATATAATCAAACTGATTTCTGTGTTGACCATCTGGTGATGTCCATGTGTAGAGTCTTCTCTTGTGTTGTTGGAAGAGGGTGCTTGCTATGACGAGTGCGTTCTCTTGGCAAACTCTATTAGCCTTTGCCTTGCTTCATTCCATACTCCAAGGCCAAATTTGCCTGTTACTCCAGGTGTTTCTTGACTTCCTACTTTTGCATTCCAGTCCCCTATAATGAAAAGGACATCTTTTTTGGGTGTTAGTTCTAAAAGGTCTTGTAGGTCTTCATAGAACCATTCAACTTCAGCTTCTTCAGTGTTACTGGTTGGGGCATAGGCTTGGATTACCATGATACTGAATGGTTTGCCTTGGAAACTAACAGAACCATCACTCAGCTTAGAACCATCTTTCAGACTGCTTTATTATCAAGTGTCAAACCAACATTTCCAAAATAAAACACCATATTCCATCACCTTCCTCTAACAGGGCAGAAGTTTTAAAAATAATTATTACATTAAAAAATAATAATAATTACATTTTAAAAACTACTTTTAAGGGACTTCTCTGGTGGTCCAGTGGTTGAGAGACTCTGTGCTTCCAATGGGGTTCAATCCCTGGTCAGAACTGACCAGGGATCATACATGCTGTGTGATGTGGCCAAGGGGGGGAAAAAAAAAACAAACAAACAACTTTCAAGACAGTGTTATAGACTAACCTTATCCAGAGCAATGAAGACCCAGAACAGCCAAAAATAAGGTAATTAAATAAAATAAAGGAATTCATATAACAAAAGAGAAAGACTCAAAGATAGGGAGAATGAACTTGTGGTTACCAGTAGGGAGAGGGACGGGGGAGGAGTAAAATAGGGAAAGAGTTGATTAAGAGACACAAACTACCAGGTATAAAATAAGCAACAGGGATATAGTGTACAACACAGGGAAATGTAGCCATTATTTTGTAATAATTTCAAATGGAGTATAATCCATAAAAATACTGAATCATTACACTGTATACTGAAATGAATATAATAGTGTAAATCAACTATACATCAACTTATTAAGAAAATATAGTATGTGGTTCAAATATCAGCTCAGTTCAGAAGCTCAGTTGTGTCTGACTTTGCGACCCCATGAACCGCAGCTCACCAGGCCTCCCTGTCCATCATCAACTCCTGGAGTCTACCCAAACCCATGTCCATTGAGTCAGTGATGCCATCCAACCATCTCATCCTCTGTCATCCCCTTCTCCTCCTGCCCTCAATCTTTCCCAGTATCAGGGTCTTTTAAAGTGAGTCAGCTCTTAACATCAGGTGGCCAAAATATTGGAGTTTCAGCTTCAACATCAGTCCTTCCAATGAACACCCAGGACTGATCTCCTTTACGATGGGCTGGCTGCAGTCCAAGGAACTCTCAAGAGTCTTCTCCAACACCACAGTTCAAAAGCACCAATTCTTCAGTGCTCAGCTTTCTTTACAGTCCAACTCTCACATCCATACATGACTACTGGAAAAACAACAGCCTTGACTAGACGGACGTTTGTTGGCAAAGTAATGTCTCTGCTTTTTAATATGCTGTCTAGGTTGGTCATAACTTTCCTTCCAAGAGTAAGTGTCTTTTTATAGCTGCAATCACCATCTGCAGTGATTTTGGAGCCCAAAATAATAAAGTCAAGCACTGTTTCCACTGTTTCCCCATCTATTTGCCATGAAGTGATAGGACTGGATGCCATGATCTTAAGTTTTCTGAATGTTGAGCTTTAAGCCAACTTTTTCACTCTCCTCTTTCACTTTCATTAAGAGGCTCTTTAGTTCTTCTTCACTTTCTGCCATAAAGGTGGTATCATCTGCATATCTGAAGTTATTGATATTTCTCCTGGCAATCCTGATTCCAACTTGTGCTTCCCCCAGTCCAGTGTTTCTCATTATGTACTCTGCATATAAGTTAAATAAGCAGGGTGACAATATACTGCCTTGATGTACTCCTTTTCCTATTTGGAACCAGTCTGTTGTTCCATGTCCAGTTCTAACTGTTGCTTCCTGACCTGCATACAGGTTTCTCAAGAGGCAGGTCAGGTGGTCTGGTATTCCCATCTCCTTCAGAATTTTCCACAGTTTATTGTGATCCACAAAGTCAAAGTCTTTGGCATAGTCAATAAAGCAGAAATAGATGTTTTTCTGGAACTCTCTTGCTTTTTTGATGATCCAGCAGATGTCGGCAATTTGACCTCTGATTCCTCTGCCTTTTCTAAAACCAGCTTAAACATCTGGAAATTCACGGTTCATGTATTGCTGAAGCCTGGCTTGGAGAATTTTGAGGATTACTTTACTAGCATGTGAGATGAGTGCAATTGTGTGGTAGTTTGAGCATTCTTTGGCATTGCCTTTCTTTGGGATTACAATGAAAACTGACCTTTTCCAGTGCTGTGGCCACTGCTGAGTTTTCCAAATTTGCTGACATATTGAGTTCAGCACTTTCACAAGATCATCTTTTAGGCTTTGTAATAGCTCAACTGGAATTCCATTACCCCCACTAGCTTTGTTCGTAGTGATTCTTCCTAAGGCCCACTTGACTTCACATTCCAGGATATCTGGCTCTAGGTGAGTGTGAGTGATCACACCATCATGATTATCTGTGTCGATTCAAATAAAATTTCTAACAAAATAATATCTAAATAATTTTGTAACTCATTTAAATAAAAGAATGTCTAGTTAAAGTTAAAAGTTTCTTGAGGACTCTTCTGTCCTCTGACACTATCACTTGAATACCCTAGCTTACAAAGAACTTTTCTGTATATTACGCCAGTCTTTCCCACAGCCACCCAAGATAGGTAAAGTGGAGAAAAGTGGAAGTTGCTCAGTCATGTCTGATTCTTTGCGACCCCAGAGACTGTACAATTCCCATTTTTAAAGAAAACTGAAGCCTGGTTCTGAAACCAAGTCCTAAACACTGCCCAAAAAACTGAGAAGAAATAGAATGCGGAGTAAATCCTTAGGAAACAAGTTACGTTTTAAGTGTTACAATTTGTGGATTGTGTTTTAATAGGTTCTCAATAAATTGAAAGGGAAATGTTTTCAATCTATGTGTACTCATTTTGAAGTAATTATAAGTAAAATTTAAAACTATATTCATCTATTTATTCAAGCCTTTATTATAAAGTACCTACTATATCGACAATCCTGTGCAAAATATTCAAGGAACAGAAAGATGAATTTTTAAGCAGTGCCAACTCTCAAGGAGAGTTTTCAATCTAATGATAATGAATTTAACACAAACTGCAGGAAAGGAATTAGGAGTAAGCATTTGCCCTTAATTGAGAAAAATCACCTCATTTTTGTAGGTTAAGGCATAAACTGCCAGTTGGTAAACAGTGCTATTATACACACCTTTATTAGTTCATCATCTTTAAAGGAGGTAGATCTTTCTCCACTAAAAACATCTTACCCAATCACATCTTTATGACTGGTTTGAAGTTTTAAAGTAAAAGTTTGCTCAAAGAGCAAAATAAGATTCATAAAATCAAATTGGCATTATGCACAGAAAGATAAGTATCTACAACAGTATGTAAAGGTTCAGTATTAAAGGGTTAAATTTGAATTACTTTGGAGACTTGTCCTGAATAAGTTATTATGTTCAACTTCATCATCTATAAAACAGGGGTGATATTTAATTCTAATTAAGATTATAACTCAGATGCTACAATTATTTCCACCTGTCATAATAAACAGAGTTAAAATCTAGTATAAAAATGTTTCTAATAATTTATGTTTCAAAAAACTGGAATTTTTTGAAAAAAAATTCCATTCAAAAACTGGAATGATAGTAGGTAAAAGAAAAAGTGACGATGGTGTGGATAATTTAACAGTAACTCTCAGTGCATAAATGAATGTAAATGTGCAAGTTATCTATTTTTTTCTACGTCTTATTACTTTTTAAAAAATGGCTCAGATAAGAAACTTAAAATACCTAGTAAAATAACTTTGAGGATTCATTTTGTGAGACGTATTGAAGAGAAAAAGAACGAGCAAATAGTACAATTTAAAAATATTTATTTTTCAATTCATGCTTTCCAGAACACTTTTTCCAAACAAATCACCAAAGACCAATATGTCTGTCTACTCTCAATGTTAAGCAATTTTTCTACCCAAAATAATGAAGTGATGTATACTTTTATATCTAATCAGTTTGTGACAGCTGTGATTCTCAAACATTTTTTAAAAACAGAAGATCAAAGTTGCAAACAGACCATATATAGTGATTTTAAAAACTGGAGGGCAAAACCTGACTTTAAACAATCAAATGACCCATTAGCTGGATTTGACCTTTTCAGGCCAAATGAGGACTTCACTCAAGAGTCCTGCACATAACAGATGGGTCCTCATAGATGTCCTTAACACCACAAGCACAGCTTCTGATGCCCAATGCTGCCAACCAACAGCAGGGGCAGAGAAAGGCGACCCTGCCAACTGACTCAGTTTTATTCTTCAACACATTTCTCTTCTCCATTCTCTTCATTGACTTCATCTGTTTCCTTGCAAGAATCTTGGCTGTTGGTATCAGTAAGATAATTTTCTTCCCCATTCTCTCTTTCTTCTATTTTTTCTTCTTCATTAAAGCTAGAGGAAGAAATTTATCAATCTTTCAAAGGAAAAATGATTTGGTTTAAAGGTAAACAAACCCTCTGCAATGTATGCCATCCTGCAGCCAGTTTTCCTCAAGTGTATAAGCTCCAATTTATGAAGAAAAGTCTATACAAGTACCAGTTGGGAAAATAAAGATTGACTCTTCAAACTTCATTTGAAAGCATGTTATTGTTTTCATTATCTATGTCAGAAATTTACATTATTTGACTTTAAAAAAATATTTCATCACCATGTAATATTTTGAAGTGTCAAACATGTTAAAATGTCAGTATGTTTTATATAGTTCACATGTGTTCCATTAGATAAAACACCTTTTAAAATCTTATAGAACAGATTTTTATGCTTTCCTGCAAGTAAGAATTTTTTCAAAGGTTAACCATTCAGACATCTTATATATGTTACCTTTCTTTATCTTCTGTGAAATTTTTCATCTCTTGATTGCTGAAATACTCAAATATTTTTCCACTTCGGCCTTTCTTTGAAACAAACTCATCAGATATTCCTAGTGCTTTTAAAGTGTTAGAATAATGCTTTTCTGCTGCCATTCTTGCATTTTTCTATAGGAAAGACAAACCTTTTTAGAGAAGGACAAAAGACTTCAAGTTTCCATTAAAAATGTTAAAAGCTTCAGTGAAAATTAAATTCAATCATCACAGCTGGTTGAAAAATATGCATACCCTCTGACCAGCAATTCCACTCCTAGGTATGTGCCTAGAGAAACTCCAATCTATGTGCCCACAGAGACACACCAAAATGCTCAGAACAGTACTGTCTGTAACAACCCCAAACTGGAAACAACCTAAATATCTATCAACAGTAGACAGATAAACAAATTCTGGTGCATTCATATAAAAGACTAAAATGAAGCAGAAAATGAACTGGAGCTGTATGTTACAACATGGATGGACCTCACAAACACGGAACAAAAGCAGCATACCGCAAAAGAGCACATAGAGTATAAAAGACCCAAAACAGGCAAAACTAAACCATGCTGCTTAGGGATTGGTACATCGGTGGTAAAACCGTAAAGAAAAACAAGGAAATGCTTATCTCAAAAGTTAAAATGGTGGTTACCTCTAGGTGAGAGAGTTTTGATCTGGGCAGGGCACAGTGTTTCTGGGGTACTGGCAAAGCTCTAATGCTATATTTGTTAACATGGGTAATGGCCACATGAGTTTTGAACTAAAATTATTCTTTACACTGTGCTGTTTCATGACTGTTCAAGGATAACTGAAAAAAAATCAGTAAGAAAAGATCATGTGATAGTTGTCAGAGGGTTCTTTATGTGCCTACTATAAATTTTACTCTTTACAAGCCATGTCTCTAATCCACTGAAGAGTACAAAATCATCAGTGTTGTTATCTTTACTCTGTGGGGGAAGCAATGCATACAGCAGGAAAAACATGAATTTAGAACTGGGTTCAAATCTCCAGAATGTTACTTCCTGGCTTTGGGGCCTGTGGAAGTCGTGATGACCCTCTCATACCTAAAGCAAATCAATTATCACAGTTCCTGAGATCACAGGCTTTACAGAGACAAAAGATAACTGAGGTTCACATGAGTGCCTTGGCTCCTGATACCACAGGCTTTACAGATTCACAAGATGACTGAGGTTCACACGAGTGCCTTGACTTTAGTCCACTTTTACCTCCTATGAGTGGGTGTGAACTAGCACAGGGCCAAAAATCACTGAACCTGGAACTAAAGGAAAGAGATGAGGAATGGCCCAGTCCCAATGCACCAATGGCATCCCATCCTGAAAAGAGTGTGGAAGAGCACTCGGTCTCACCCCAAAATTTAACACAGAAGAGGAAACCAAGATACTTGGTCCACCCTTCCTGAGGTTAAGTGGTTTGCTTAAAGTCACAGAATATACTGAGAGGGAAAAGCTAGTCTCCTAATCCTTTCCTGCATCTTCTTCACTGCTTCCTCTAAGTGGTAGTGGTCATTCAAGGTGGCCTGAAGCCTGACTTCAGTGAAGCAGTGTCAGATATTTTCCTAACCCAGGGATTCCAGGATAAGGAAGGACCCTGGAGTCTAGTGTTCCATTGGAGAAACCAAAATGGCAAAGGCTGATTACAATGGATAAAACTATCCCTAGGGCATTTTCTGACACTCTAGAAAACTCAAAAAGCAGCACTAAAACTGCTACCAAAATGCACCCACTGTGAATGATGATTTTTAGACAAGTAAGTAAAAATGCAACCAGAGGCTATGAATACCAAGAGACAAGCCTTGGGCAACTGAAAGGCATAGGAAAGTGACCTGAGAAGAATGGCCCCACAGACTGTAAAGCAGGATAAAGAAACCCCAGACCTAACTCAATGTGCTAAAAAGAATATATTCTGATTTAAGCAAACGAGGTATAAAAGATTTAAATGATACTAGTCAATGTTACTGCTCTTAAGCCTTCACCTGAATTTGATCTAAAGCTTTAATGTTTGGTTTGAAAGTGAAAGTCGCTCAGTCATGTCCGACTCTTTGCGACCCCATGGACTATATAGCCCATGGAATTCTCCAGGCCAGAATACTGGAGTGGGTAGCCGTTCCCTTCTCCAGGGGATCTTTGCAACCCAGGGATCAAACCCAGGTCTCTCGCAGTGCAGGCAGATTTTTTACCAGCTGAGCCACCAGGGAAGCCCCAATATTTGGTTTAAAATCTGATTTAACATATTCAGTTAATAAATCCTGTGATTTTTAAGAAATAGGAAAACATGGTTTGTTCTGTCCTGGATCACAGGCTAACTCTGCTAGGGGGATAACTCAACAGCAGCATGACCATAATTAACACTTATAAATGGGAAATGCATACCACTGTAAGTGAATTTATTAATTAACAGCTAGCTGTTAATTAGCAGTAATAGTAACTGCAAGAAAAAAGTACCAATTTATGTTAACAAAACCAAAACAATGGTGAGTCACTGACAGTCACTCTGCATATAGAACTTATTATCTTTTAATATTTCATATCAAGGTGAATAGTGTGTAACTGTTCTTTTTTAAAACAAGCATGTCCCCCTCAAATTTCACCATGCAAAAGAACTGTAAAGACTATGAAATAAAAGTGGTTAAAGTAACTGAATGATTATTTTGTTTTTATATCTAAGATACTGCAAAAAACAAATTATCTTTGTTTCTTTAGGCAATTTGTCTACAATCACTACTCTAGTTTGAAGAGGAAAAAAATACTTAGCTTTATAAGCCTAAGTTTACTTTATAGCAATTCTTTCCTTTATATAATAATTACTGACTACTTATTTTGTGACAAGCCCTCATGGGAGGTAGAGGTATATGGGGAGAGGACAGCATATGTGTTGGCTGAAGTTGGTTGAAGAAAATATCAGCTATGAAACTAACCTATGCTTTCAATATTTAACACTTCTTTACGGGTTTAATTTCACACACACCACTATTTTGCCACATTTTCTCTGGTGATTAGAAAGACTGGGAATTCACAGCATTGCAGAACTGCTTCTTACTGCTGAGACTCATCACTACTATGTCAGGGTAGTGCTCTAGGCCTGGTATAATCCCAGGGAGAAATAGTCCAGTTCGGGTTCAACAAATGTTTATGAACATGTCCTCTGTGCCGTATGCTGTCTTAGGAGCTAGCAACACAAAGATCTGACCAACACCTTTAAAAGTAACTAGCTTAAAGAGAAGGGAGAGCATTACACAGATAATTTGCACACAATACATAGGAAAAAACACAGAAATGCACAAAGGGTAATAAAAGAACACAGAACAAATAGCATGCAACTCAACCTGGGGGCACAGTGCAAGAAGTGATTTTACACTAAGCCTTGAAAGAGTCAGAGGAAAGATACGAAGAAGTTATATGGGTGTTGAGAAACAGCCTGAATAAAGATTTCAAGTTTGAGGGACTTCCCTGGTGGGTCCGGTGGCTAAGACTCTGCACTCCCAATGCGGGGGGCCCGGGCTCAAATCCTGGTCAGGGAACTAGATCCCACATGCTGCAACTTAAGAGTTTACATGCCGTAACTAAAGGGTTCGCACACCACAGCTAAAAAGATCCCACACACCACAACAAAGATCAAAGAGCCTGAGTGCTGCAACTAAGACCTGGCACAGCCAAATATATAAATAAATATTTTAAAAAGATTTCCAGTTTGAAACTAGTGGTGTGGTACAGTCTGCAAGTAAAGGGTATACACAGAAGGGAGTGGAGGCATGCAGTGGTCAATGAACTAAAGAGGTCAACAGGGATCAGGTAAGAGAGGATTCGGTCCACCATGTTAAGACTTGTGGACTTATCTTCTGGGGGGAAGCAGGACAGCTTAGTGCTAAGCATTTGGAAGCAGGCTGACTTGGGTTCCTAGTTCTATTATTTACTAACCATAGACCTTAAAAGTTATTTACTTTCTTTCAACTTCAGTTTCTTCCTCTGCAATACAAGAACACCCATCTCGCAGCACTGTTTGGAGACGCCCATGTCAAGCTCCCTCGATGCCATTTACTGAAAATGAGAACAAATGGCATCAGCGAAACGGATGGCTGCCTCCGTTACTGGGGTGAACACTGTGGCAAGGGAAGGGGAATGGCAAAGAGAAGACAGAGCGAGGGGCTTTGCAAAGAACAAGGCCAGAAAACCAATCAAACCATAACAACAACTCAGACGGAAAATAACAGTGGCTTCACCTAGCATTTCGCCCTCAGGAATGGAGAAAGGCAGATCCAAAAGCTGTTTAGAAAGGAGCTGCTCAGGTCTCAGGGACAGCTGAGAAAAAGTCGGGGGAAGAGTGGTTTCCAGCCATCTAAATTTCAGCCCAACAAAAACACGAACCCAGAGAGGCAGGTCTACTTTGTGTCAAGATGAATATAAGATGCCTGTGAGAAATCTGGATAGGTACATCCAGATGAGTGGACGTAAAACCTGCAGTAGAGAGCCGGAGAAAACTATGTGAGGCAAAAATCAATCACTTTATGCTGAGTAACGTAGAACAGCTTATGATCATTTTTCTCCCCTAAAGTTGAAACTGGGATGTGAGAAAAAAAATCCCTTAAAGTGAAAAGTGTTACACAAAATTATATCCAAATCAATAAGTAGAGGGTTCCCATAACTTTGAGAGACTGTAATATGCCACAACGAATGTCCCTTGTCCTCAGTGAGACTCTGACAAGGACAGTCCTATAGGACACTCATCTGTCCCAGACACTTGCTGGCAGCAAGCTCCAAATGTAACAGCTTGAAATTCACAACACAGCACCTGTAATCTCTAGTGATTTTGTCTATTTTTAAATTACGTAGCCCATAGGAGCTTTTCCCTTATGGATACAAAAAAGATCACCTGAAATTGACAAATTTCTCTTAAGGGAAAGACTGTAAAACTGAGTATAAATCTAGTAAAATCATGATTCATTGTTTGTAGCACCAAGCTTTTTTTTCCCCAATAAAAAGGGAGTCCTTCTCACAGACACAGAAAACAAATTTATGGTTACCAAAGGGGAAAGGGAAGGGGGATAAATTAGGAGGTGGGATTAACAGATATACACTACTTTACATAAAAGAGACAAATAACAAGGTCCTACTGTAAAGCACAGGGAACTATTTTAATGTCTTGTAATAAACTATAATGGAAAAGAATCTGAAAAAGAATATATATATATATGTGTATGTATACATATATGCAAAACAACTGAATCACTTTGCTGTATACCAGAAACTAATACAACATGGTAAATCAACTATACTTCAATTTTTAGAAAAAGGAAGTAATTTCACTAATTATAGCTAAAACTAAAAATTATAGACTCACTTAAAAAAAACAGATCAACAAAACAAAAAGGCAACCTACTGAATTGGAGAAAATATTTGCAAATAATCTATTTGATAAGAGGTTAATATCCAAAATATATAAAAAAACTCATGAAAGTCATTAGCAAAAAATAAAATTTAAAAATGGGCTAAAGATATGAAAAGACATTTTTCAAAGAGGATATTCAAATGGATACAGGCATACGAAAAGGTGCTCACCATCACCATCATTAGGGAAATACAAATCAAAATCACAATGAGATACCACCTCACACGTTACAATGGCTGGTCTCAAAAAAACAAAACATAACAAATGCTGGTGAGGATGTAGAGAAAAAGGGAACCCTTGTGCACTGTTCATGGGAAAGTAAATTGGCACAGCCATTATGGAAAACAGTATGGAGTTTCCTCAAAAAATTAAAAATAGAACCACTACACAATCCAGCAATTCCACTCCTGGCTATTTATTAAAAGGAAATGAAATCATTATGTCAATTCACTGCAGCATTATTTACAATAGTCAAGACATGGAAAAAATCCAAATGACCATCAAAAGATGAATGGATAAAGAAAATGTGGTAGATATGGAATACTATTTGGCCACAAAAAAAGAAATCCTGCCATTTGTAACAATACAGATGGACCTTGAGGGCATAGAGCTAAGAGAAGTTAGTCAGACAGAGAAGGACAAATACTATATGATCTCATTTATGTGTGGAATCCAAACACACACACAGAAACAAATTCATAGAAAAAGAGATCATATTTGTGATTATTGGAGGAATTGTATGCAGGTGTCAAAAGGTACAAACTTCCACTTATAAGATATGAAAGTACTGAAAGTATAATGTACAACATGATGATGACAGTTAACACTGCAGTGTGGAATATATGGAAGTTGCTAAGTGAGTAAATCCTAAAACTTCTCATCACAAGGAAAACAATTTTTTTGGTAACAATGAGGTTTATAGGTGTTAACTAACTGTAATAATCATTTCCTAATATGTGAATGTCAAGTCATTATACTGTACATTTTAAACTTATACCTGCCAAATGTCAATTTTATCCAATAAAACCGGGGAAAAAACCGGCAGAAACAAATGATTCAGTTAGCCATTTTGTTTCATTTTTTAATTCTTCAAAGACTTCCAATTCAACCTCAATATTTGGCCAAGTTGGTACTAAAAAAAGACTAGCCATTAAAAACAGGTTATGAAACTATTATTTTGAAAATGAATGGATTAGTAGCATGTTCTTTATCAAGCTTACGAACCTCATCAAGATTCAGTGCTCAGATTTAAGCAAATTACTTACTGGACTGATGTGGTGAAGCTGTCACAGAAATAATAATGTCTCAGTAAATTACAGAACACATAAAAAAAATGGATTATGAAAATTAGGAGCTAGAGATGTTAAAAAAAAAGGCTGATAATAGCTCTCAAATTCCAACAAACACAACCTGAGCAACTCTTTCAAATAGCAGCGGCCTGTTTTTTAATTTTTCTTCTCTTTCTTCTAGTTCTCGTCGGTATTCTCTCATCCTTTCCTTTTCACTCTTTCTAAAATCAAATAAAAGGAATGGAATTTTTAAAAGAAACAAGAACTTGCACATATAACATTTAGCTTAGATGACAAATCAGAAATTACATCATGAGCACAGTTTATCACAATTTCTTTTCTAGACTGGTAAATTTTTTTTCCCATTAGACTGGTAAATTTTTAAGGGATGCAGAATACAAATTCTAGGTTTTGAGAGCACACATTTTACATTTCGGGGACAGTCTGGGTATGCTGAGATTCCTGAAATCTTCAAAACACGAATAGATTAAGGGGTTTCAAACTGGCCTCGGGAGATTAATCGATGCCCTCTCATCTCATTTATAAACCAAAAAGTTTGGTCCAAATTATGTATCTTCTCTTTGAGGAATTTCTTCTGAATATTAGATGGTGCTCTTCTTTTTTCCCTACATGAGATCTCCTATAGGCTGGTGGCAGAGTTAATTAAATGGGAGTAGGGTAAGGGAGAAACAAGGAGTATGGAAATAACACATATAGAGAAACAGGAACCAAAACACAAAAACTCACAGTAAGTATACTCACTGTTTGAACCAGATCCTATAATGAATTAAACTATGCTATTTTCTCTATGTAAAATACACTCATTCTACCAAGATCATGACTTCCTGTATTAGAAAAAATAATTATACCATAAAATAATAATTATGCTTAAATATACACAATTTAGCATTATGGAAAATCCAGTTTACTTTCTAAAGGTGAACAGTATATTTCTAGAGAATATTTTGCTCAAGTTCATCAAATCAAGCTCCTTCTATCAACAAGTTACACTGATACACATTATAAGGTATATATACATAATATACATTATAAAGGAATATAATACTTATTATATATAATATACATATTTAAAGGAATAGTCACAAAAGCAAATATAGATTTGGGGGTACTTATAAATCAGATTAAAAGTTAATAAATCATATTACTTACCCAGCTTTGAGGGAGATAATTTACTACTTAAACATGAACATTTTTATGTTGCAACATAAAAATATTCCTCTGAAACACTGATTTTCAAACTTCATGCTGTAGAATTCCAGTGTCACATACCACTAACCTTTAACACACATGTTAACTGACACATCACATAACTGATGCTAACATCAATGTGCTAATCTGTGCTATCAGATTTTGTGTAGACCTTAGAACAAAGGTCTTGGACATATTTCTTTGCTGAAGAACATTTTGAGATTACACAGCAAGCTGTTAAAAAAAAGAGCTTTGTGTGAATCAAGATTTTTCTCAATATCACACTGTACAAAAAAAAATAATATAAATAAAAAGTTTAGGTGCTGATACAGGATTACAGCTGTGAACCATGGCCACAGTATAAAATGCTTCTGTCCATCAATACGGCATCATGGTCTTCACTGTGGGGTGAGTATGCATGTTGGTTCTTACCATGAAGTGAGTGAGTGTTAGTGTATGCGTAAGTTAACTGTAAGTAATTGATAGTAACTTGAATCCACAAACTGAAATACTAACACTATTCTTCATTCATTCATATATTTGGGGGGTCCACTGATGAAAAAAAAAAGTTTGAAAACCAGTGATCTGGAGGGTCAGGGTTCTCTCGTGATACCTGAGAGCTTTTATTCTGGATTTAGACATCTGAGCTAAACTCTCGTGTGAGTCATAAGCCTTAGCCCGGATTGTCAGGAGTTTCTGCAATTCTTTCATTCTTTGCTTCTGCTTAGTTAAGATCCGATGTCTCTCTTCTTCCAACATTTTCTTTTCCTCAAGTGATCTCCTGAGGGCAACAAACTAAGGCTTAATTCACTTTAAGCCAGTGAGAATGTTGTTTAGTAAAGATTTAGCACAGGGTAATTCAATGATTGAAAAAAAAAGGGCAACCTTTTGAGAAGGATCTGAGTTGTAACTAGAAATCGGTAGGCTGACTGTAACCTTTTCTAGCCCCAAAGATTCATAAAATGGAAAATATATTTAGTTCTTGGATCTTCCTGACCCAGGGATGGAACCCCAGTCTCCTGCATTGCAGGCAGATTCTTTACCATCGGAGCCACCATAGCACACCTTCTGGCAAACGTTCTATATTTTATAGTAAAATATGTTACCGGGTAACTTAGCATCGTATTCTCAAATCCCCCAACACAAAATCACTAGAGCGACTGTGAGTCGGCCATCATTGTGTTGGTTATTTACCTTGTGGCTTGCTCTCTTCCTCGGGAGGACACCGTGGGCGTTGGAGGGTTGCAGCTACAAGGTGCAGGCTTTGTGTTTGTATCCCTTACTGGTGACTTGAGCCTTGGAGACAGATAAGGCCAACGTGTTTCTTTTAAATTCTCTTCATCTGCTTCAATGTCTGCCAAAATTTTCTCTCTTTTGGTGGATGAATGTGAGGCTGCCTGAAGGTCAGATGGTTCACAGACTGTCAGGAATTTGGGACACTTCTGTTCTGAGTGGTGTTTCTGATACCTCTCAGGTAGGCCTTCAGAATCAGCAGGCTGGCGCCTAACCCTGTGTTTATATTTGGACTTCTCAGCCTGTTCAGGACCCCTGGACTTCCTTGTAGCGAAACTCCTGCGAGGTGGACTATAAGGCAGAGGGGATGGACTCTGTAAAAAGTCTTGAGTTCTCTGCTGCGCCCTAATGTTTTTATAGAGTGCTTCTTCTGTTAACTTGTCATTGAGTGTTGAACCATAAGTAGAGCGAGGTATAGGTCTGGCTTTAAAACGATTTATTTTCTTTTTAGATTTAAAAAAGTCTTTCAGCTGCTTTTCCCGAACTGCTTGCTTCTGTTCCTCCCTTGCAATAAACTTAAAGGGCTTTTGAGAGGCCAAAAGAGCTTCTTTGTTTCTCTCCTTCATAGCCTTCCTCCGTACCTCATTTTGCTTGACTATATCATGATAAAGGGGGAGAAAGACGAACGCAGGAACTGGGTTGGCTCGGAATTTTTTCTTACACTCTGACTCTTCTTCTTGCTTCTTGAGAAGTTTGTGTACCATTTCAATATCTGATTTCGATTTCATGTTCTCTTCTTTTTTCTTCTGCTCTCTAACTGTCATTTGAAAAGGCTCGGGTACTGTAATCCTTGGCACCCATTCTTTCGGTTTCTTTCTTTGTTTTTCAAGTGCTGGCAGGTTGACATCTTCAAACTGGATGTAATCTTCTACGCTGAAGTTTGTCCACATGTTGTTGATGAGCTCCTTAGCATAGGTCATCATACTGCTTTTCTCAGAATACTTTTTTTCTAAGTTGGGCAACTCTTCTTCAGAGGAAGACACGATCAACGAGGAAGACTGACTTAAATCAGGTTCTGAAATTGATGTCATTAACGAGACAGGGTGATAGGAGTTCTCTGATACAGACCTAAGCAAATGAGGAGAATAATCAGGTTACCTTTTCAGTTGTATGTGACCAAATAGAAAAATTAAAAGCTACATAATTTCTAAGATCAAGGTAAAATCAGTTAAAAAATAGGAACTGGACAGGGCTGATGAAAACTATCAAATTCTTTAATAACAGAGCCTGGGAGATGCCTGAAATTGATCTAAGTTGACTCCCTCATTTTACAAGGGAGGAACCTCAGACAGCAGAGTCTCCTTATATCTAACCACTATTGAATTCTCCACATGTTTTCCAGAGTCACCATCCTAAAATATACATCTGATCACATCCCTTTCTTTCCTGAAACTTTCCCATGACTTGCCATTGTCACCAAGCTTAGATTATAAAGCCCCTCAAGACTAGCTCCTGCCTACCTCTCCAGTTTCACCTCTTGCCTCTCCCTACCCAGGTCACCATTCTTAAGTCAGATCCAATCATAGGAAGTTTCTCCCACACTGTGGTGATTTCTCAAGGCACCATGCCTTTGCACACATGGTTCCTGGTGCCTAGAAGGCCACTCCTTGCTTCCTACATCTGCTTCAGCTATTTCTCCTTTAAGACTGAACTCCAATATGATACTTCACTTGCCTGTATCCCTCCACTGACACCCTGACAAGTTCAACTGCTCTTCCTCCCTCTCCATGATACTCTGTTACACCAAGTTGTATTTTTGGACCTCAGATTGTCTTTGATCTCCTTGAGGGCATCTTGATTTTGAGTCCTCAGTGCCTAGGCAACATCTGGCACACAGGAGATGCACCATCAGTGCTGAATAACTGGATGAGTGGCCTCAAGTTTCAAAAGAAGCAGGTTTATGGCAAAAATGACTATTTTGAAAACAAATCAGATTTATGTCTTAGTTCTGAACAATCTGTGTTATATCTGCAATGAGCTCATGTTAATCCACATATTACAAAAAAAGACATTTAAAACTGAATTTTAATATTCAACATTTGAAAATGGCCCACACTAAATATTTTGATACATGTCTAAGAGAGGTGCATCAGAGAGAAAAGACTAAAGTGGCCACCAAATAACCCTCAAAGCAAGAAGCTACCTAGTAGGTTGATAAGCCATCAAACAATCTGAATAAAAACCCACCTCTGTATATCATTAAAAGCACAAAAGGATATTTGAGAGAAAGTATTCTGAAATAATTTCTTTTGCACTTTTAAGTATACATTTTATCTTACAGTTCACAAATAACAATATGGACAAACTTACCTGGAAGAGACACTAGCAGTTTCTTCCCTGGTGACTGCTGGCTGAATTTCCTTTAAATTTAATTTATTCTGGTACAATTTCTCTAACTTTGCCATAGTTTCTATGTGGGCTGCCTTCAGCTCTTCTAGTTTCCTGAAATACTCTTCATTAGAGTGGTAAATATCAGAAAAGTCCACAGAATCCTCACGGCTTATATGTTTTTGTTCATTCACCCTAGACATGCTGGTGTTAAAATCAGCCTGGTAGGATGAAAAAAACCTGTTATACGATGTCTGGAGTTGAAAGACAAATTAAGTTGACACTTATTCCCAATGCTACTTTTTAAAAAGTCCACTTAACAAGGTTATATGTTTACTTGTGGACTATGTACATATAACATATTATAAGTTACTTGTGGGCTATATACGTTTTCTCCTAATAAATATTTTATTAAGAATAAGAGAGAGAGAAGGGGAGATAGAGAGACCAAGTTGCCAGAAAATAAATACTATTTAATCCATCTTTTAAAGGGTGGTTAGATTCTCAAATTATGTACTAAGAAACACTATGGCAGGATCAAACCAAAGCACCCTTTATCAAGAGCCTCCTTCTCAGCGCAGGTTTATCTGAGACGAAGAACACAGTTTCTCCTGCTGCAGACCAAGCAACCATAGCCCAGTGCCCTCTCTGAGCTGGGCTTTGCAGTGTGGGCCCCAAGTGTGTTTCAGAAGAGAGGAAAACTGAATGAGAATTCCAGGGAATGTGGGATTGGAGGGGACAAAATTCTTGGGGGCTCATCAAGAAGCCAGAGAGAAACTTTCCTCCATGTGCATGGGGTGGGGGTTGGGAGGAACCTCAGGAACAGTAGGAGGTGAAGGTAGGAGGGACTTCCAGAATAGCCACTCTTGTGGGCAATAAGAACAGTAGCTCCCATGGTGACAAGGACTGTGGGGGTGACAAGAGAACAAGAACACATAGGGTGGTTATTCTATATACATGTCTACAAGGGTATGACTGATCCCTTCCCCCTCACTCCCTTCAAATACCTTTCAATTTCTTTTAACTGAAGGAACTTTAAAGAGGTAAAACCCCATATCCTTCACCAGTATATAAAAATTTCATATTTTCTCAGGTGAGAAACAACTGAAATTGTTTATGATACTATGCATAAAAGGTTACTATGGTTTTAAATTTAGCTTACTGCCTGAAATAGACTCAAAATGAAAAAAGTATATTTGCCAAAGAAAATTAGAGATCCAACCTGATAAGACTCTAGAAAATAAACTTGAGTAGTGTCTCCCAACAGAAAATTCAGAAGATTCAGTTGTCCATAATACTTATAAATATAACACTTTAATGGGCTCAGAAACAGTGTAGACGAGGCCAGTGTTGTACCACTTGGGACAACTTAAGAGAAAACAAATGAAGGAAAACAAGTTTCCTTCAGTAGAACATGTGTGCAGAAATTTATTACCAAATAAATTGGAGAATTGCTTTATGAGTCATGTTGCTGCTGTTGTTCAGTCACCCAGTCGTGTCTCTTTGTGACCCCATGGACTGCAGCACGCCAGGCCTCCCTGCCCCTCACCATCTCCTGGAGTTTGCCCAAGTTCATGTTCATTGCTTCAGTGATGCTATCCAGCCATCTCATCCTCTGATGCCCTCTTCTCCTTCTGCCCTCAATCTTTCCCAGCATCAGGGATTTTAAGATGAGTTGTCTGTTCGAATCAGATGACCAAAATACTGGAGCTTCAGCTTCAGCATCAGCCCTTCCAGTGAATATTCAGGGTTGATCTCACTTAAGATTGACTGGTTTGATCTCCTTGCTGTCCAAAGGACTTTCAGGAGTCTTCTCTAGCACCACAGTTTGAAGGCATCAATTCTTTGGCATTCTGCCTTCTTTACAGTCCAGCTCTCACAACTGTATGAGACAACTAGAAAGATCACAGCCTGACAACATGGACCTTTGTCAGTAGAGTAATGTCTCTGCTTTTCAACATACTGTTTAGGTTTGTTGTAACTTTCCTGCCGAGAAGTAACTGTCTTCTGATTTCATGGCTACAGTCACTGACCACAGCGACTTTGGAGCCTAAGAAGAGGAAATCTGTCACTACTTCCACTTTTTTCCCTTCTATTTGCCATGCAGTAGTGGGGCTGGGTGCCATAATCTTAGTTTTTGTAATATTTAGTCTTAAGCTGGCTCTTTCACTCGCCTCCTCATACTCATCAAGAGGTTCTTTAGTTCCTCCTTGCTTTCTGCCATTAGAGTAGTTATCATCCACATATCTGAGGTTGTTGATGTTTCTACCACCTATTTAGATTTCAGCTTGTAACTCATTCAGACCGGAATTTCTCAAGATGTGCTCAGCGTATAGGTTAAACAAACAGGGTGACAGCAGACAGCCCTGTCATACTCCTTTCTCCATCTTGAACCAATCAGTTGTTCCATATACGGCTCTAACTGTTGCTTCTTGACCCACATACAGGATTCTCAGGAGACAGGTAAAATGGTCTGGTATTCTCATCTCTCTAAGAGCTTTACACAGTTCGTCATGAGCCACACAATCAAAGGCTTTAGCACAGTTGATGAAACAGAGGTTTTTCTGAAATTCCCTTGCTTTCTCTATAATCCATTGAATGTTGGCAATTTGATCTCTAGTTCCTCTTCCTTTTCTAAACCCAGCTTGAACATCCTCAAGTTCTTGGTTCACATGTGCTGACGCCTAGCATGCAAGATTTTAAGCATGACCTTACAAGCATAAGAAATGAGTGCAATTGTCCGATGGTTAGCACATTCTTTGGTGCTAGCTTTCTTGGGAACTGGGATGAGGATTGACTTTTTCCAGTCCTGTGGCCACTGCTCGGTCTTTCAGATTTTCTGACATAATGAATGCAAAACCTTGATGGCAACATCCTTTAGGGTTTGAATAGTTCTGCTGGAATTTCATCACATCCACTAGCTTTATTAACAGCAGTGCTTCTTAAGGCCCACTTGAGTCATACAACTCAATTAAGAGAATTTTCTGATATCCTCTGCTGTTTTTTGTATGTGCTCCTCACCATTACCTGCTTAGCTGTGGGAACGAGTACTTTGTTAATTTCCTCACTCATTCAATATTTAGAGACATTCAGTATGTAGCTAGCTGCTAAAAGATACAAATCAGGTAAAAACTCTACCTTCCAGAAATGGCAACCCATTTTAGTATTCTTGCCTGGAAAATTCCATGGACAGAGGAGCCTGGTGGGCTATAGTCCATGGGGTTGCAAAGAGCTGGACACGACTGAGTGACTGAGCACATCAGCACATACTGTGAACTGAAATGGTTGTTTCCTTTTGCATTCCTACCAGAAGAGTTTGAGACTTCTGGTTCTTCCATACTCTTGCCAATACGTTTAGTCTTTTTAAACTTCTGACCTTTTGAATAAATGTGTAGCATTAAAAAAAAAAAAAAAAAGACAACTCCACCTTCCAGAAGCTTCCAGCTAGTTTAGAAGAGGACATGCAGATAAATAATCAATAGCAGACTCTGAATGAGACAGAACTCCTGATTCCTGTCCACGATTTGCTCCGAGCTGAGCAGGGAGACAGAGAAGTGACCGTGTATGTCACGATATCAGGGACCTTTGAGAGCTCACAGAAACAGCGTCTAATTCTGACAGGGGGAAAGAAGAGGCAAAATTTGCAGATATCAGAAAGACTGGATACACAAGGCTGGATAAGGACAAGGTTTGTGAAAAACAAAGAAACTGAGGCCGAGGGCTCGAACATTCCCCATGTTACTTCATGATGATGCAATTGGCAGGTACTCTGTCCTTGGTGAGGAAACCGAGGCTCAGAGGAGTCAGGTGACCTGTCTACGGTCACACAGCTAGTAAGCAGCAGAGCTGGGCTCCAATACCATACCTCCAAAGACACACCACACTCCTCCCAAATGCAGGAGGGTTTTTTAGCTGCAAGTGGAAGTAACAAGCATGCTGTGCTCAGAGGAAGGTATACAGTCTGAGAGGGGGTGGGGAAGAGCACATATGGAGCACAGCGGAGGAGGGAAAACAAGGTGAAAAAGGCAAGTGAAGAGCCCCAACCGAAAGCCCAGTGGGCCAAGCACAGGCACCAGGAGCCCGGAAGGACGTGGAATGTGAGAGTCACACTCAGAAGGACTCTCTGGTAGCAAGCGAAGTGGAGGGAAGGAAAGCAAGGCTGGTGGCAGTTAACGGGCTATTGGGAGATTTAAGAGGCTGAGTCATCAACCTGACAAAGGTCTGGACTGTGGGCAAGAAACTGAAAAAGTTTTCTGTTTGGAGTGCTGCATGTCTAGGTAAATGACGGTCTGCCATTTATCAGTAGAGGGGCTACAGGGAAGAGGAGTATTTTTAGGGACAGGATATTAATCTCTGTCTTAGACACACTAAGTGTGAGGGGATAGTAGGGCAGCCCAATGTCCAGGAAACAAAGGGGTAAATGTATCTGGAGACTCAGTAAGAAGGCTGGGCTGGAGATGGAAATAAGGAGCCAGCAATGCACACAGAAATGCAGGTGAAGCCCTGGGTGGAGATAAGGCTTCCTGTGGGCAGTGAGAGGCAAGAACTTGAGGATGGAAATGTTGGCAAACACTAGCATCCAAATAAGCAGCGATAGGACTTCCCTGGTGGTACACTGGTTGAGAATCCAGCTGTCAATGCAGGGGACACGGGTTCAATCCCTCGTCTGGAATAATTCCACACGGCACAGAGCAACTCAGCCCGTGCACCACAACTACTGAACCAGCACTTCAGAGCCCACGAGCTGCAACTACTGAGACCCATGAGCCTAGAACCTGTTCTCCACAGCAGGAGAAGCCCCCGCAATGAGAAGCCCATGCACTGCAATGAAGAGTAGCCCCCACTCCCCACAACTAGAGAAAGCCTCCAAGCAGCAACAAAAACCCAATGCCACGAAAAATACAATAAATAACTAATTTTTTAAAATAATGTACAAAAAAGTATGAAACAGTCACAAAAGATCACAAAGATCAGGTTGAAACTGAACAGAATACTGTGAGGCCCTCCAGGACACAAAAGTCTTTCCATGTCCTTGTTTCAAAGAGCAGCTGCAAACAGTTACTAATTAGAGGAGTGAGGGACTGCAGGAAAAAAAAAAGGCGAGGCAGTCAAGAAATAGTGTGGGGAAGGAGCAGGGTCCTAGTTCCTCCAAAGGGAAACACAAAACAATCTGATACAGAAACTAAGGCACCCACCCAGGTGGAGGATGATAATTTCAGGC